TCAACTAATGACTCCTATACATCCAAGTGAAAAGTGTCACAACAAAACACCCATATGGTTGTTTCTTGAAACGTGCCACCAAACAGCCAACCCATGAGAAAATGTTTATTTCTGCTAAGTTGTAAAGTAGTTTTATAAGCTATTTCTTTTTTCTTTTTTTTTTTTTGCTTCATGGGTCTACACAACAGGGGGTAGCCCATCCCCTTTCCCTTAAACCCCCCCACCCCCACCCCCTGGTGGCAGTGGGATTTGATCCCAGGTCTCTACTCCAACAAATCAGAGAACCTACCAACTGAGCCACCATCAGTTGGAGTTTTATAGGCTATTTCTTGACATGCTCAAAACAAGTCCAACCAAATCACCCCTCATTTGATGAAATCATGCATACTAGAAGATCTCCATTTGGCATTATATGAGATGCAAGGAAGTTCTTATATTTGGGGCATGGCTGCTGCAGATTAGAGAGTAAAATGGTAAGATCGTTTTTACTGCCAACCAAAATAAAAAGTAAAATGGTAAAATGGGTGTGGATGAATTTACTAATTAAGGCAATGGTCAAAGGCTTTCTATTCTGTTACCAAAGGTCTTGGAACGTTGGTTGTCAAGTAAAAACTATTTATCTAAAAACTAAAATTTACCACATGGAAAAGTGGGTCATTTGGAGAAGCACATGAATCCATTTAAGATTGTCTCCTCAATCAAGAAGACATCAAACCCATCTCTGAAATGGCTTAACTGAATGACTTATTGCTTTGCCATGTAGTGGATAATATAGTAAAAACAATATAATTATGTTGATATATCAGTTGTCTTTTTGCTTTCAAAAACAGAGCCAACCATATTGCCAAACACCACTTAGAGATATGATAATCAAATAAACAGTCAATGTGCCATTAAAGGATCTTACAACCAAGGTCCAAAATATCGATATGCCCGATACGTCGGTAGAGGCGTACCAGGCAGTATCAGTAGTTTTTTTTCTTTCAAATCCGGTTCAGAAGGGCCGGTTTAAGGTCCATCCACCCCTTGAACCAGTCAAAACCCTGATACACCCTCTGTAGGGGCATATTTGAGAAGCTCCCAATACGAGCCAATACGTATCAATACTTTCAACCTTGCTCACAACCTGCTGAATAACTTATTCATTAAAAAACAAATTAATAAGCCATTTAGTTCAGCCACTTTAAGCTATTATGAAACTGCCCCCTCTAAGTCAATTTATAATAAAATGTTAGGACAAATACCTGGATTACAATGTTATAGAAATTTTAATTGTAAAAAAGGTATAAAGATAAAGAATTGAGTCTAGGCTATCACATGCCCGATATTGTGCAAATCCTGTTTGTGAATATTACAAAGAGAAGAAAAGAAGCTGCATCAAACTTATTATAAAATACCAACATTTTAACTTGGGCATTTGTATTTATACTAAAAGGAATATAATATACATACAACACTCAATTCTATAGAGAAAATTAATAGTATTAGAGGCTATAAATTAAGCATTGTTGAGTGATGGTAGTTGTGCCATTTTCAATTTGGGGGGGGAGAGAGGCACGTGTGATGTATTTGGCTAAAATAAGGTTGTTAATTGACTTCTTAATTACATGATTTTCCGTATACATGAATGCTGCTTATCTTCAACCATCTGTTGACATACCCAGAAAGTTTTTAGGGCTTAAGCCGCCTCTGTATATTATAATATTAATATATCACAAATAGGAGCTATTAAAAATGGAACAAGTGTTAGCTGGCTTTAATACTCTGCAGCAATGTCAACAACCCATTTGATTTTTTTAATAAAATAGCTAGATAAAGTATTAGAGGTTATTAAGCAATGTATTTGTTTGATTTAATGATCCTAGATAAACTATTAGAGGCTATATACTAATAAATTATCAAACTGTCCATAGTCAGTAATGTCTCTAACTGTCTCTAATTAACTATTTAATGCTCTTGATTAAGATCTATCCTTTGGTTGTCTTATAATCTGGGAAATCTTCCAATTTGGGTCCTCTCATTAGTCCATTTGGGCAACTTGCCTTATGAACACCTTCTAATTTAAGACCAAAAATCAACTCAGTATGAGTATATCCTAATTAATTCAGTGGTGATTATTCAAACCCATTTCATACTTTTGAGCACATGACAAAAGCAATAGGTCAGAAAATTATCACATGCTATATCATGAAATCAATTAGTCTTGGAGGTCCCCTCCTACCTCTTGGATTTGAGCATTTGATTCTGATTTAGGGAAGCCTATTTTGATTTTGTTTATTATAAAAACCAAGAGGGCACACCCAGTAAAAATTTACAAAAGGTGCCCCTATCTGTAATAAATTTAGCCTGGTGATATTCGTAGGGGTGCTCTTGTCCATTCAAGGAACTTACATATATATGGACTATAATAGCTAGAGGCATGCCCTAGTTATCAAAAGGAAGAAGTGGGGATGTGCCCAAATCATCACCTGAACATTTTCTCTTCTCATCAGTCCGGGCTTGGCCCAGTTGTAGGTTGGATCCAGGCCCATCACCAGGGAAACAAAAGAATTAAAAAGGAAGAGAGAAAACCCACTGACCTGGTTTTTGATTTACGAGTTAAATCAAGGGGTGGACAGAAAATTCAATAAAAGTGGCACCAGATGAAGTGACACATGGAGATTTTCTATCAACACAAACCTGCCAATTGATTCTCTTTTACGAGATCAATTAAACCATATGTCAGCCTGATCTGATGATTTAAGCATCTCATAAATGGACCCTTGTTGAAAACTACTTATCAACCATATCTAGCCGTCCAAAGATTTTAAAAGAAGAAAAAAAAAGGGGGGGGGGGGTAGGGGAGAAGAGAAGAAAAGATGAAAGATACAACTTGTTTGCTTGCTCAGACCATCAAATTGTGCTAATTCTTTCTCCAGAGAATCTTCAGTATGGGGCTCAAAATTCCAGATTTTCAGAAAAAGATGAGGTGCAGTTGTTCACTCTCATCCCTTGAATGCAATAGGTCCCAGATGCTAAAATTGCCAGCCCATGTCTACATTTAAAATGGCATGGGCCCTTGCTCCAATAAGGGCTCTCTCACATGAAGAGATGCTGCCCACCATTGATTTGGAATCAGAAGGGGGCAACACCCATATAAGATGCCCCACTTGGGTTCAAATGGATTCCAATCCTAGTGTCCAAATCTGCTGCATCATGTGAGAAGACCCCCATTGACTCCAAACCCTTAGATGATTCTTTAGTTTTGTGGATAAGCACATAAAGCGACCTTTCTAGTAGAATGTATTTATTTATTTCTAGGGATTTAATAATGGGAATTGTATCCCTTTATTGTGATAGAATAATAGACAATTGATGGGTTGTTAGAGAGCATGGTTGTTAGCTGGTTGCTTTCACCAGGGGCCAGTGCATGTGAGTTTGATCTATTTTACTCAAAATCATCCTCCAATGGAAATTCATGACTTCATATGGGCTACTGGGTCACACTGCTCAATGAAACAAACCCAACACAATATACCTTGAAAAACAACACCAACCCAAGTTTCTATACAGATGTAGGTCTTCAAAATTATATCTATAGCTAATGCAACAAATATTATATTCTGCTTTTTTATATCTTTTTTTTTTCTTCCACTTGTTTGTACTTATCATCAGAAATAGTCCTTTTATGGAAAGTATTTGGTGAAAAACCGTTTCTTTCAAACAGGGTAGTATGGGTATTTTGAGGGTCAAGATGGACCAAAACGGCAATAAGTAGTTATTGAAAAAGCTCTTATAAATAAGCTCAATCTTTTGGCTTCTTCAAAATGGACTTATTTTCTGGAATAATCACTTATTCGGCCTTTTTCCCAAATGCACATAAGTGCTTATTTCACTTATTTATCTTTTGATATACAAATCACATATAACAACATTAATCAAATTTTTAATATATAAATCACATATAATCAAATTGAATTTCAAAATGCATGGAGAGATGTTTTAGATATAAGACTGAATGCCGTGTTCTAAACTAGATTTACGAGTTTTGTAATTTGTTTGGCCCAATTTCTTACCAGGAGTGGCACAAAGCCGTGCATTCTAACTATCTATATAAATGCATCCCCCACCATACATCTGGAATAAGTGTGAGCCTTTGTGATGAAACCAGGTTGGTCTATGGGCTGTTGACAAAGGCCCATGTGATAAAGGGATTTCCAACTAGAGAATACTTGGAAATAATTCTCTACAAGAATTGTGGGCTTTATTATGGGCTTATAACTCTCTAGTCCAGCTTCTGGACTGGCATCAGCCCTTTGGCAGAAAAATGGAATGTAAAATGGGTCACAATTTTACCGGTTAACTGGCCGGCTGGTTCATTCTCTGACTGTGAAAATTGAAAAAACCATTAATTAACCAGGACCCAGAAAGGTTACCCGGTTACTAGGTCACCAGTCAACCGTATGGTCCAGTCCGATTCTGACAACACGCATTTGTCATAGTTGATAGACCGAGTCATAGAATCATCTGGAGTGGAATAGACATGTCATATCTCATATGGGCCTGGTTGACCTGACAGACTCGAACAGACAACCCTCTGTTAAGACGGGTCTTGGGCCTCTTGGTCCGGGGTCTAATATTTAGGGCCCAATAATAACGGTAAGCCTTAGGTTCACCTTGTCTCAAATTGATAAGGACCCTCCACGTGGCAGAAATATGGGGATTTGGACCAAGTTCTAACCCATTTCCTTTTTGGGTTGGAAGTTGGAACACCAAATCCGATAGAAACCCGACCCATTGACAGGATCCAACAACAATTCAATCCAGACATTTCTCATTTCAATTTTCAAATATGCGAAAAGTAACCCATTTCCCATCACCTGAGGCAGAGACCCAACCCCATACAAATTGACCCAACAATGTTTCACTGGACCCCAAACGGACCTCTTTATGGGCCATTAGTGGTGGGCCCCCAACCAACCAGACTGCCTCAGCACCAAACATCCTCTCTCACGGTACGAAGCCTCATCTCTCCCATAACAAGGGAGTTCGAAACTGACAACCAAACACCACACAGTCACAGATAGACAGATAGCCGGAGAGAGAGAGAGAGAGAGAGAGAGAGAGTTGAGCAATGTCCACTGCAACCATACCTCCAACAGCTCTTTCCTCTGCTTTCAAACAAGTCTGTGCACGAAGATTCAGCTTGTTTACGGGAACTTCGAACCATCTTAAATGCCGGGGACGCTGGAGAAATCTCACGGTGAAGATGTCTGCGGTATCAGACCCACTTGAAGTCTGCGTCAAAGCTTCAATTACCACCCCTGGAAGGCTCGGAGACTGTACTGATTCTCTTCTACTTTTCATTTACCCTTTTCTTTGTGGTTTCATGGGTAGTTGCTTGATGTGTTTTGTGGGTAATGTGGTTTATGGCTTCTGTCTCCGAATTCATAGTTTATGGATTCGTTCGCTTTATTTGTTTACTTGGGAATGTCTCTGTGCTTAGTGGACATTACGTGTTTCGCATATTAAGATTCTGAAAGACTCTCTTTTTCATGGTACTGTAGATACGCAATTTTGGGATTCCACCAATTGCTTCTGATTGGGAATTGGGTCTTTGGTACTGTTACTGTAATCTATGTTTTTTTTGTGTTGATTAATGTTATAATTAGGTTTCATAACCGTTTGCTTGATTATTAAAATTGATTTAAAACACGGGGAGATTAAGCTCATGTGGATATTGATTAGTGAGAAACTTAATTTAGGATCAGAATTAGGCATCCATTTATAGACCCAAATGGATATGCGGATGAATCCTTAGATGGACTTCCGAATTGAAGCTGTGGAGATTCCAATAATTTTTTTTCCAGTTTCAATGGTAACAGAAGTGGAATTCTTTGAAACCTTTTTTTTTTATTTTTTGGCTCAAAGTAGAGAGTAAAAAAAGAAACATGAACAAAACATACGAAAATATTTAGAAGAAATAAGAGATGAAAATAAGAAGTGAACTGATGTCCAGAAAGAAATAGGCTGGCTACCTCATATTAATTTTGTTTTAAAAATATCAGGATTTTTATTTATTTGTTTTGAGTGGGTTGCTTACTTAGTAACTATTGTAGTCTTCTTTGGTAGCGTATCTAATACTGGTTAGAAAATATTAAGATTATTTCTCCTATATTTTACATTCCTCTCAACTATATTTCTTGCTATACATGCTTTACATGGAGTACCTTCTTCTTTACTTCCTCTGCAAAATTCAGCAAGTTTGCAATATTTTATAATTCAGCAATCAAATATGAAGAGCAGTGTGAGAAGAAAGAAGATATTCAAGAATGGAAATAGATTGTCAGGAAATAAAATTAGAAAATAGAAAAAGAGAATAAATGAAGATATTGAAGGGATTATTACTATTACAAAGAGTGGAGGTTATGGGAGCTAGCTTCAACAATCGCAATTCACTAAAGTAAACTTTTCTGTTTTGATTCAAATCCGGAAAGTCCACTTATGGTTCTATGCTTTTTTTTTCTCTTATGGTTTCCTTCCCTTTTTCCATGTCTGCAATATTGACACCATTTTATTTGGCAGGTCCATTCTCACAAAGAGTTTTGCTAACTCTTGAGGAAAAGCATCTTCTCTATGACATGAAGTTGGTAGATTTGGCTAACAAGCCAGAATGGTAATTCTCTAAGGGGCCATTTGATAACGGCTGAGTTTGCTGAATTGGATGAATTATTGCTTTGTCTTTAGTGGACAAAATAATTAAATAATAAAAGCATTCTAGGGTATGGTAATCTACCCAACTTCATATTTAGCCATTTAAGGAGCACACAACTGCCTTAAAAACTTTTTCACTAAAAGATAAAGGAATAAGCTTTTCGGTTCAGTCACTTCAGGTGTTATCAAGTGGACCCTAAATATATTTGCCTGATACTCATGGATGTGGAAAAAGTCATTTTCTGTACAGGGAAAAGAAAGAAAGAAAGCAATAACTTTTATGTTTACTTCTTACATTTTGTCCACTTTTTGGTTTCTGCTGTAGGTTTTTGGAAGTCAGTCCAGAAGGTAAAGTTCCTATAATCAAACTTGATCAGAAGTGGGTCACAGATTCAGATGTTATCACCCAATCATTGGAAGAGAAATTTCCTGAACCACCTTTGGGAAGTCCACCTGAGAAGTCTTCCGTGTATGTATATCTACTTTTGGTTATATATATGGTCATCTATGATATAGTCTTTCCAAGAGAAAACTCCAAGGAATGGGATTATCCAATTTGTTGTCCTTTCCATAATTATAAATTGTCTCGAGCAGCAGTGCTCTTGGTATGCCAAGTTCCCAATTGCTACTTTGTTTCCATTGTCCTATAACACTCTTTGGCCTTGACCATCTCTATGAAAGGCTTGAGATGAGATGTACAAGGTTTTATGACTTTGTATGGGGCCAGAGGGGCTGATACATAATCTTCTCTGGCCTTGATTTCTTGTTCAGTGTACACTGTTCCTAGATGCACCTTGGATGGAAAACATGTAATAGTGAGTATTGCAACTTATGCCCAAAATGTCTACCTCAAGCATCGAAAGAAAAACAGAGTATAAGGAACCAGAGGTATGAATATTGGATAGGCAAGTTTTTCGGATTTTAGTGTCTATTGCACAACACATATGTTGCCCCAGAGCTCAGTTGTTTATTAAAGCAATTGTTAGTTATTACCATATTAAACTGATTTCTATAATCTATTCTTTAACATGACAAAAGAGTCACATTTATAGAGGGAAATAAATTAGTACTTAAATTTTTTTAACTCAACGACTTTTTTTACAAAAGGAAAAGAATGTACAAGATGGGCAATAAGACATCACCTGAAAGAAATAGATTCAGTGTACAATGTTCATGATTTTGTAACGTTTTCATTTTATCATTGTTGACTGTTCTTATCAACTTAACCACAAGTATTTAACATTTAGCTTAAAGATTTTGACAACCTTCATCCGCATCAATACTATACCCCAGGTGTTATTGGACAGGAATTTATGTTGTATCCTTCCATTGTTTCCACTTGCAGGGGATCAAAGATATTTTCCATTTTTATCGGTTTCCTTAAAAGCAAAGATCCCAGTGATGGAACAGAGCAAGCATTGCTTAGCGAGCTAACTTCCTTTAATGAGTATATCAAAGAAAATGTGAGCATTTCAATCTTTTATGCTCCCAGTGCATTCTTTTACTGTGAGATATAATTAAATCTTTATCTATTTCAACAAGAAAGAAATAAATCACATCTATTTTTAAATTTAGATTTTCCCTCAGTATATGTCACCTGCCATGTCTCAGAGTCCACTAGATACCAATGAAATATTTAAAAAATTTCAAAAAGAAAAGGTCTTCCACTTGCATAATCTTACTTTTGATTGTTTACATGTTGCAATTTGAGCATTCTGAGATGTTCATTTTCAACCATTAACATGATTGTGAGAATAAATAGGTAGATTTCCTTTTTTTTTTTTTGAGGTTTGTTCAGGTAGGCAAGTATGATACTAGGAGGACAAACAATGTGAAGACCAAATACTGAAGGTGGTTTTCCCCAACATATACAAAATGGTGACAAACAAGGGAACCATAGTTCAGGAAATCTATGAAGTTCATTCCAGCTACGTAATATGGGCCCCTTGATTAACTAACGAGTAATGTCATTGGTTGGGAGGCTGATCAGCAAATTTCCTTGTTTGTATTCAACAAAGCAAAATTGCAGTAGGCTGGAAGGATAAAAGGATTTTGGGCTTAACTTAAATGGGCTTTTCTCGGTTAAATCCTTCTATGAATACACTTGTTACACATGGCCAACACCCCATTCCCTTGGTGATGGATCTGTTCCCCTTACCAATGTTTTAAAAGGCATGAAAGGTGTACGCCTGGAGGCGCCTCCAGGCGAGGCTCCCCCAAAACGCCCTGAGGCATATGCCAGAAGCGCTGACACCTCTGAGGTGTACGCCTCAGGTGCAAGAGGCATATGCCTTATATGCTTTTTTCATGAGGCATGCTAGAGGTGTACACCTCATGCACCTCTCGCACACCCCATGTAAAAAAGATAGAAAAAACAAAGAAAAAAGAAAAAAAAAGGAAAGGAAAGGAAAGAAAGGGAAGGGAAGGGAAGGGAAAGAAAAGGAAAGGAAAATGAAGGAAAGAAAAGGGGAAAGAAAGTGGGCTGGAGACTAAGCCCCCGGACCCCTTTGGCTGGGGGGGCTTCGCGCCCCCCCCCCCCCTTTTACCTAGTGATATGCATCTTTANCCCCCCCCCTTTTACCTAGTGATATGCATCTTTATTCTTCTTAATATAAAAGATTTTATTAAAAATAAAGAAAAATGAGATCCTCCTTCCTCTTCTCCCTCCTTCTTCCTCCTCATCACCCTCCTCTTATGTTCTGAACTATGCCTCACACCTCTAGGTAGTGGAACGCCTCGCGTCACACCTCCGTGTTTTAAAACATTGCCCCTTACATCCCAACAAAAATTTGCTTCTTAGTGCAGACAGTGTATATGTACAACTTCTTAATAATAGACCAAGTTATGTCAAGAGGTTGAGACCAGGGACATATATTGTGCTTTGTGACACTCTTGGAATCAGTCCCACACTTGCCAATTTGCAGTTTCTCTTCAAGGCTATGTTTGGTTTGATAGCAAGTAAGAGAGAGAAATATTCAAGAAGTTTCTCTCTCATTTTCTGCCAAACCAAGCATAGCCTAAAGGTACGGAATCATTTTATTTAGGTAACTGTTTAGAAGCCAAATAGGTAGTACCAGAAACCTTGTCTGGTTTAATTGATTCATGACCTGTTAAGCAACTTAACAAACAAGATAAAATTCTTTTGGATCAATTACCATTTTCTATATGTTGGTTTCTCTGAAGAGAAAGGAATAGCAGAATTTCAAAAGGAAGAGAAGTGAAGAAAATGCTAGCATTGGAAGGGTGGAGTGCACTAATGGAAGGAGATTCTTATATAATTCTTGGCTAGCCTGTAAAGAACGTTAAGGGTTCATAGCAGTATAGAAATGAATTCTGAGATATAAAAACAGAAAATGGAGAGGGGCCTTGGAATCGCATATAGGTGGACCCCAAGATCAGTCAATAGTATGACCAATGAACTTGCAAGACACAGAGTGGGTAGGGAGCAGTTGCTTTGGGGGAGTGGTTCTCCAAAATAGGAATCTGTAATATAAGAAAAGAAAGATAGGATGGGCAGCAGGGATCGGCCCATTGTTTAGGCCTTAGGGAAGTTTTGGTTTATCCCTTTACAAAATTATTTACATGTTAATTAATTTTGTTAGTGATCAAAAGAAGGGTGGAATGCTTCAATATTAGCATATTTTGAAAGATTTAACTCTTCTCGTTTTATTGATGACTGGGAAAAATAATACTTGTAAATCTCAGTCAGGTATGGAGTTGTAAATTTTGTACATGAGCTGATCTGTGTATACTTTCAATCATTTGTTCAATTCTTTTGATAATAATATAATAAAATCAAAAATTACTTTATCATTCAAAAATCACCTTCACACTATTTTCAAAGATGTATCACATGATTGATTGATTGTTTAGGAGTTTTTTCTTTTAATTGGTAACTAGATGATTACCTAGGAGATTATATATTTTATGAGAAACTGAGCACATTTGATGTTGTGAAATTGGAAGATTTTAACCATTAATTAGATTTTCAGGACTTACGGAATTTGTTATTGTTAAGTAAGTGATGAAATTCTTTCAATTTCCAGCATATTTGTCAATCATATTTATGATCCGTTCACATATATAGGGTCGGCTGTATGCTGTTTCACGATATCCATTCACATATATGGGGTTGGCTACATGCTGTTTCACCAATCTGTACTATTTAAAACCATATCCATTCCATTTGTCAATCATATTTATGATATCTAAAAGTGGTTGCTCCAAAACATTCCTTTTATGGATAGTTATAACTTCAGACTAGTATGTTCTTTTAACTCTTCATTGTACCGATGAAATTATGCAAGTTTGTTCTTTGTTACTATGTTGTCTACACAAGAATGTGTCATAAGTCATCTTTAATAGTATTTCTAACTCTTCTACATGCTTCAACTTCTTTTATTCTAATTAAGGGTCTGTAATAACTCCAGACTAGTTTGTTCTTTTAACTCTTCATTGTACTGATGAAATTAGAGATTCTAGAAGATAAGGGCAACCTTTTGCCCTTAATATCAATAAAAAGTAATATTTTTACATAATAATCAAAATGGGATAACTTTTATTAGAAAAATATCAAAAAAGGGCAGTCGCTCGTCTTCCTCCTCTGCCTCTGTATTCACCCGCTTCGACGGCGCAGGAGTGGGCAGAGGAGGCATTCTGCCTCTGTATCCAGCTCTAAAGAACTGCACATCTCAGCTTCCATTAACGTTGAAATGGAAATACCCATCCATCGTGGCTATACCCCACTCTATCTTGCACACTTGAAGAAGAAACCCACTCTATCTTGCGCACCTGAAGAAGAAACCCAGAATACATTGATGGACTAGGATGTGCTACGTGGATGATGAGACCAAAGGAGTGCTCAGGAGCTCATTCAGTCAGCCCATCTCAAAGGAGTAGTGCAAATTGCAGCCGGCGGGGGTAAGGTTTGTGCTATTCGTTCACATGGTGGCGGAATTGCAGTGGTGGATGTTGTTGCCAGACCACCGCAATTGTGGGTTGTGGATCCACCACCAGCATTGCAAGCTGTTGCTGTTCATATCTTGCCGAGGATGACAAGGCCGGTACCATGACTGCTGTAACCAACATCATCGCCAGCGGTGGGGGACAATCCTTTTTCTGGGGAAAGGCCTCTTTTTTCTTTATTTTTTTGGTTGGAAATTGAACCCAGCAGAACTAGCGACGTTGGAGGAAGTACCGGCGTACACTGTCTTCCCGATTGGATTCGCTGCAATTCCCACAGCGACAAGTACCAGCGTACCACATTGTCTGCATCTGAAGCACAGATCTGTAAACTGTAGGCCATCACCGTGAGGAGGTCCGTGAACCTGAAGTTTACGATCGTCTTTCTCTGCATCTGGTACATGATTGTCAAGGAAGAGGATTTACACAGTTTTGGTTGATAGGGTGGTAGGCCATCGCCGGAGGACTTACACAATGGCAGAGGAAGACGATGAACAGTGACACTGCCTTTATTTGATATTTTCCCAAAAAAAATACTCCTTTTTGGTTATTATATAAAAATAGTATTTTTTATTGATATTCAGGGCAAAAGGTTGCCCTTATATGCTATTATCCCATGAAATTATGCAAGTTTGCTCTTTGTTACTACATTGGCTACACAAGAATGTGTCATAACTCTTCTTTAATAGTATTTCTAAATTCTAACTATTCTACATTCTTTTATTCCAATTAAGGGTCCGTTTATCAATGGCAAAGAAATCTCTGCAGTCGACTTGTCCCTTGGACCAAAGCTTTACCATTTAGAGATTGCTTTGGGACACTATAAGAATTGGTCAGTTCCAGATTCACTACCATACTTGAAGTCTTATATGAAGGTATGCCAACCATGGTAGATATGCTAATGCTCATCATGAAGATTAATTTTGCATCATGAATACCAGAACTTTTTATTTCAGATTATTATCATGGTCTTTTTTACTTGCATGTTGCAATCACTAAAATGTTAAGTGAACCTTTGATCCCAGATATACCTGCTTTATTTGTATTATATCAAAATTTAGTCGTTTAGTTCTCATGTGCCTTTGCAAATGTATTTGGCCATGGATGTGTGCTATCCCTACTACCATGAATTTGAGGAAAATAAAAGAAAAAATAAAGGTTAAGGAAGTTTTTTTGGGGTATTACATATTACACACTACAAGGGGATTAAGAGGTGAGGACAGAGCAGGGTGCACGTGAGGTCCACTTACCTTACCCCTTAATCTCCCTGTAATCTGTAATATGTAATACCCAAAACAAAAGAATAGAATAATATTCTATAAAATTGATAAGAAAAGCATATTTTAAATTATTATGTTGTTCTAAATCATCAATCAAAGCCAAGAAGCTAAGGTTTATAAACAAAATAATACCCTGTAAATTCATCCTGTGAACTTTAAGAGTTAAAACTATATAATA